ATACATTTCTTTGCAGTTTTCTCTTACTTTTTGTTGGTCCACTTTATAAAATATAAATATACGTCCGTTTATCATCATTATAAATATCGTAACTATATAATAGTAAAATATTAATCAACATCATGTTTTCATATATATATCATGCACCTGTAATACTTCATAAACAAGCATATTATTCGTCTATAGTTTCGATTCGTACATGGGGTTAATTATTAGTGTCACAATGGATCAATCTTTCAACCATAAAATTTTTCATTTATAAAATAAACAATCCAACTTTCCTACATTCTGCATGTCTCAGATCAATTACATAAAATAAAAGGACACACTCAGTGGAAGCTGAAATTGGTAGACTCTTTGCACTACTTTATAATAGTACATTACTTGTAACACTGTGATTGTTACGGAAGGTCTGGTGTAAGATTTTGTTCCAACCAATCTGTGTAACATGTATTGAATCACATTACTCATTTTTGGACCATTGGCATTTAATAACATTTCTTTTGTCACACAAGTAGATACAATGGCACTAATACAAATTTCATTAATCATCGCCATTATGTCGTTTAAAACGCTTCGTCGCTAATTATTTTATTCGTATATTATACATATGCAAAATTCAGATCTTCTTAACAAAAAATGTATTATAAGACTTCGAGAACAAACTTTCTAATGTATATTATTCATAAAACATAACAGTTCGTATCAATTGGTTTATATAAAAATTCATGAGACAAGATTTTTATTATGTTACGTTCAGCTTGATATATGAATGTATTCAAGTTATTCAATTGGGTAAAAAATTTGTCATATTATCTACATTAATATCCATCCTTAATGGAACCTAGTCCTAATTTTTTTTTCATAATATGTGCAAGGATCATAACTTCTTAATACATGAATGCAGATTGGCAATTGAATGTTCAAAATTTCATAATAATCCTCTGTAGAAAAAAGGTATTGCAGAGGATTCTTAATCATTATATTAATTCTTAACAATAATTTCAGTGGCCACAAAGTTATTCCATAAAATATTCTTAAATTGTATAATTCTATGTACAATTTCATAAAATAATATTAATTTAATATATAGATTTTTATATTATAATATTGCATGACGTATTACAATATATTATTTAATTACTTAAATATTCCATTCAATTATTAATGATGTGTATTCGTACATCAGATATGAGAGAATAAATTTCATATTACAGACAATGAATGTTGGCACAGACAGTGGCTGGGTTAAGGCATTTCGGGGTGTTCAATTCTCCACTGTACCCTCCAGCATAACTATCTTATCACACCCTCTTTCCTTCCCAGAGTCCCCCATTGTGTTATTTCTTTTCATTTCTATATATAATACCTCAGATGACTGTGTGACTCTCACTTTTAATGTTGAAACTATTCTTAAAATAGAATACGCTGTTTCAGTGAGCATTGGAGTGTAATAGCTGGATATGGTAAAGCTCTCACAGCGGTTTCGTGAAATTTGCTGGGAACATACCCTTCTCGTCCGTACCTTCCTTGATACCCATTAACCAACCTTGTTCCTAAAGCAACAAAATATTTTTTTAGTTTTTTTGGTTTGAAATTATTATCATCATTACTATGATCATAAAAACATGGATTTCATAAATATTTTCACTGTGAATATAGTTAAATAATAAAAGTTAAATAAAGATGCATATTTATTGCATATTTGCAGCTATATTTAATATTTATGTCTAGACAAATTATTAGATTTATAAAGACACTAATTCTATCATATTTTACATTTGAACTTATATTTTGATGCTTTCAAAATATAAAAATAATATAAATAATGTATGAAAATTGTTGATCAATAAAATTTGTTAATATTCAAGTTAAAGAAAGAACTCATGAACACGTCCATATTGAGCTTCTTTTACTTAATGTTTAGGAAATAAATATACACAACTATATTAAACTTTCTTTGGTACCACTGCATGTCTAAAAATAGTTTAAGTAAGAAAATACGAACCTGTTCTTCTGGATCATCATACTCTACCACACGAATGATATCACCAACATCGAACGACAATTCGTCCGCATCATCGCGTCTATACTTGTAAGTAGCCTTGACTCTATACAAAACGCCAGGCGGTAAGTTGTCAGTCGTTGCCCCTACAGAGAAATTGGTACCATTTTCATATTCCACCTCTAAAATAATTGAATCCGCCTCATTAGTCATGGACCTGTGATGTCATTTTGTTTAAACTCTGACTTTCAATAATTATTGTCCAAAATAGATCAATAAATTTTGTTTACTTTGATGATTCTGATATATAATAGAAAGTCAGAATTATTAAATTTCTTTATCCATTGTTTCAACAAGACCATGCATAAATGGGCAGGCAACATTCACATATTTTTACCAGATATACATTGCACTCCAAAATATTTAATCAATTATGATATTCATAGCTTAAAGAAGAAAAAATAATACATAATATTATTATTAAATATTTTTGGATGATAATGTAACATAACAATAGAAGATTCATATCAAAAACAGACCCTACCAAAAAGTTGAAAATTGATTTAACATATTAGTTTCAAGAAACTGTAAGATTAAATAGTATATTCCAAATTGTGTAATGAACGAGAGTTCATCCCAACTGACTTGGAACATATATGTTTTACTATCAGCAGACTTCAAACTTTTATGCCTTTATATCAAAACTATTTATTATTAATACAGTTTAAGATATAATTCGAGAACTAGTTTCCTTTTCAGTAAAATAAAACAGTATTTTATTTATTGATTTTTGTGTATTTGTCACTCATTTATTATTACTTTATCTTCATCTTTAGTTTCTTGTTACATAAGTAAAAATTTCATTAAAATTACTATTTAATATATGAAATGTGTATTCTATATGGATCACACAAATAAAACTAGTCTCCAAATTAATCTCATCACTGCTTAGATTTAGTAACAATTAGTTCAATGTCAAACTTCACATGTAAATACATCAAATACACATATGACGAAACATATAAAAATATTTCAACAAAAGAGTCTTGAATCATAATATTATTGATGTATGCCTTCTAAAGATATCAATGACATCATCCAATGTTTCACGATTTTCAACATTAAGCAGACCGTCCATGAAAGATAAATTTTTCACGAACTATTAAAGCGGAGTTAAATTATTATTCTTTATGTAAAATGGCAACCTTTTTTACGGCAATTTCTTTACGTTTTAAAAATCCACAAAAATAAAAGTAAAACATACATATAGTGTTGCAAATCTTCTAAAAATTAATGTAACAAAATATAATAATTCTGTATTGCATACTATAAGCAAACTTACATTATTTTGCTTTTGTCTGTTTCATAATACAGTGTGTTTGTTACTCCTTTTGAAGGATTATAATTTGAAAAACACTGGCAACTGTATAACGTCATTATCGCTACACGATACTTACCAAATGGTATATCGTACAATACTTTGACTCGTTTGGAGATAGTGGCTGTACTTTGCGGAGATGCATCCTGATTATTCAGGGAATTATCATTGCTATTAGCATTGCTGTTAGCATTGCTGTTTGCATTGCTGTTAGCATTGCTGTTAGCATTGCTGTTAGCATTGCCATTTAATTGAGTAGTTGGTGAGGTGTTTCTTGCTGCCGGAGCTGAGTCGTCCACAGCTGTAACACGCAAGAAAGCTCACTCAAAACTAAACATTTAGCCACATGATTATGTGTTCAATGACTTTTTATGTGGCTGGGCTACGTTACACGCATGCAAAACAACATATCAATACACATATGATTCAAACAATTCAAATTCAAGACAACATAGAAAGGATGTATGTGTGATGAATATATTTACCTGGAGAAATATTGTTTTGAGCTGGCTGCGTGTTGATTATTAAACTGCAATAGAGAAATGCCATTTAAAGTATAGTTACTAGCTCCAAACTTGATTAAAGAGCTTCCCATTCTTAACATTTTACAAACATAAAAATGAATATGGAATTGATTCTTTATCTTGTTTTTAAGCAAATCTATAAATGGTATGTGAGTTTCTTAGTGTAAAATGACGTAAGAATTTGAATATATTTTGTTATGTCATGGTTGATCACTCATTTTGAAAGAATTTGTAATAAGTAGTGCCACAAGAGACAGCAGAACACTTTGTGTAAGAAGTACATCACATTTACCTTCTAGAATCTGCTCTAAAAGATTTTGTGATTAGCAAACTGTAAAATACGTTTCATTTTCACATGGACTAGAACACATTTCAATCTAAACAGAAGCTCTCACATTAACCATGTACAATACTATCAATTTAGTGTGGAATGATCTATGAGAAAGTTCAACTGAAAATTAAAGCAAAACACAATAACAAAGGTGGCACACTTAATCACATGATGCTTCTCTTATTGGTCTATTTTGATTAAAAAGTCTTATATAAACAATTCAATGAAATGTAAAAAGCCTGAATAAAAATCCTTGAAGCGATCTTCTGGTCTAAACGCAATTTTTCGAATAATATTTGGGATTCTTTTAATAGAATTTAATAAACTCTACGTTTTTATGTGTTTTCAATATCACACAAATAATTGTAATAGCTATGGAGTTTCTTGTCGTTAAAAATGTAGTGATAATTCAACAAAATAAATATGTAATAAATGCATAAAATATGTATTCAGAAGAATGACCCAATCATGGCAGTAGTTTCTGAGGAAAGTATAGGAGTAAATTGAAAAACTCTGTTTTGGAGAAAATCTGTTTACAATTTTTTAAACAATTTTAAAACAAATATTCAGATTTTGATGTTATTTATCCTAACTTTTCACATTAAGAGCACAAATCTTTTTTTTTACATTTTTGCAGTTTTATTAGTAACATTCTTTATTTCCATCATTTGTATTGTTCTCATTATTAAAATAAATCCCGCATTGAATATCACTATTGAATGTTTTGCAATATTAACTGGTTCTCTTCCATAATGTGAATGTTTTCATGAAAGGATCCATATCAATGAGTTTAAGAATTCATTATTATTTTGTATGAATGTGCCAAGCCATAGTTTCAACAATTCATCAGGTTCATGAATTGGTTTAAAGATTTTTAGCATTTTATTATTTAGCGGTGGTTTTCCTTCTCTGTAGCTATAGTACCGGCTTCTATCGTATACAGATTATCCTTGAAACTTTGTTTTGTAACCTTTCTTGCGTACATAAACACTTCTCAGCCGTTACGTGACTTTTTTGTAAAATGTAAAAATATTTTATATCTAACAGCTTTGTATATATACTTGAGTAACAATTTTCAAAATGCAAATACATAAATTTCAGATCACAAATAATGAAATACAATTAACTGTTAATAGATATACTCATAAATAGAGCTACATTATAATAATTATTAGATCAAAATGTTATGTAAGTGCATCTAAATCCTCTAAACTTCCATAGCTTTTACAATTTTTAAAATTATATAAAATCGTGCTGATAGCATATTCCTCATAATATAGACATTGAAAACATTGGTATATTTTTACACTCTAGACCAGAAAACTCCTTTAGTAATTTCCATTTTTATAAGCGAACGTGCTACATACCCGTTGTTTATCCTTTCTTAAATAAAAAACAATCATGATTACAAATTTTTTAGGGCCCCCTTTATCCCAGTGTACTCTATAGCCTCGTGTTACGTTCCTAAAAAAGTCATGTGACTTTATTATTATGTTTTGCTCTAATCTGAAGTTGATAGGTCAATAATGTTTCTATTCGAGTATTAACATTTCCAAGAATTCGTGGCATTCTTTTCATGAGCAATATTCACAGTATTTCTAAATTATCGCCACTATCGAAAACCCTTACGTGAATTAATTACTTACGAAGAATTAGCATTAGGTGATTTTGGTGACTGTGGCTCTGTATTTTTCTTCAATGTGTATGATCCCCTCTGACTTTCGTTGGCCAATTTATCGACGATTGCCTCCAATTCAGAATATACCTGAAATATAAAAATATTTATTTAAAGAAAGGAATATTCTAGTGCCTTATAGATGTAGGGAAAAAACATTATGATCCAGGTATTAATAAAATTATTTTTGTATAAGGAAATACGTCGAGTGGTTTTGTGCATATTTTAATATGACTTCTTATTAAAAAAGTATATATTTTTCTTATTAACTTATATACAATTACTACATACATTGGTATGTTAAAATATTAATAAGAATATTTGTCTATTATAATTGTTGGTATGTGATACTTTGAAAATTTGAGAACGAGGGTATTGAATCAGAGTAATCACAGTGAATGGTTTGGCACAACGAGATCTGGTTACTAGTCCCTGTCGAGCATATTAACCCTCGCCCAGCGGATGCAGGGTCATTTCGATTCAACTGTATTCGTCGCAAATGAACGAACCACGTGGAGTCATTGCACGAATCGTTTTTCTTCGATAAATATAACAATTTTATGCATTAAATACTCTTAAGATATAAAAAATATTACATACATAATATACAAATATAATATATATTTTTAACAACGATTCTAGCTTAGTATACAACCAGAAATAAAAATTCTTTGTTGTGAATTAAGTTGATCTTATCACATTCTTGATATTTAGTATTGCTTAGTACAACCTGAATTTCTAATTACATACTAAAAAGGATTACAATTTGCAATACATGCTGGTATAGTTTTGGTAATTGCAAAATGAAAGAACTGGAATATTTTATTTTGATTCGTCAGGCCATTCCATTGTCGATTAAGCTTCTTTAATATTTGATATTACAGTACTTTAATATAGCACTTTAATATCTTATATTGCAGCACTTTAATATAGTACTTTAATATTTGATATTATAGTACTTTAATACAGCACTTTAATATTTTATATTACAGTACTTCAATGCATTACTTTAATATCTTATTAACATAAATTACGTTAACATAATAAGTGGAACAAATATTACAGCTGTCAATTTTCTTGAAATTAATTAAATTAAAAGAGACCTTGGCGTGTACCTTGGCACTCTCAGTATGAAAGACTTGCTCGGCAGCGAATAAGGTCTGCAAATTGGTAACGAGGAAAAGAACGCGAGAGTCGTATAAGGCGGGCAGCTCGTCATGAAGTTCTGAGTTCAGTTGCTCGTATGTACGCTTAGCTTCCTCCAGTAATTCCTTTCCTCGTGTAACTTTAAGTTCGTCTCGCTTCCTTGGATTACATTGCAACGATTGAAAATTATGTCTCTGGCTGTCGTAGTCTACGAGCTTCCGTCCACGCTTGTCGATCTTTTTCTGAAAGTATTGACACTATAATTAATGGCTTCATCATTTAATTATGAATTATAATACTATGTTATTAGATGAAATGTGGGACTGTTTCAAAACTGAATTCAAATTATAAAGGATGTTACACTTACAAGGAAATGTATCAAAGTGGTAACCGTTTATTTTGTAGAAAATTGAATAGAAATTTGTTTTTTTTTAAATGTATTACGTACATTCTAATTTTTTAATTTACTTGCAGTCATGTCAATGGAATGATAACAGTTTTCAAAGTTGAGGTGATAAATGTATTTTGTCGAATATCTTGGAAGCTACTGAAACTAGAGCAATCTTATATGTAAATAGGAAAATTGAGCATTTTTTTAATAAGTGATTTAGTGTGGACAAATTCTAGAAAACTTCATTTGATTAAATGATACATTAAAGAATACCTTTTTTGTTAATTTATCTGATCAGATATTGATCATTTATTTATTGAAGTTATATTTTATTATTTTATTGAACATTCTACTTGAAGTAGTCACAGTACTATACTCCTCAAGAATTGGTCCTTGCTTATAGGTCTACTAATTTTTAAGATATTCGACCAAATGTGTTACTCACCCCTAACTTTCAAGGTTATTCCCATCCCTTCAATATGCCTAATGACCAATGTAATTAAAAAAATATGTATCAAATATCTCTGTAAAAATTCTTTCAAAACTTTCATCGAAATCTCTAGATGTTAGGTCAATAGATATTCTTGACGGTCCAATAACATTCATACTCAGCAGTTCAAACTCAGTAGCACAAGAGTGTCGATACTGACTTTCGACGTGACGGTTGCGCGATATTTGCTATTTTTCACTTTTATCATTTATTGCGAAATAACCAGTTGCCGAAATTTTAAAAACAGTGGTGAATTAAAAGTTTGGAAAGTTCACATGTAAAATATCATTCTTCTAATTGCATGTTACTGGATTCAGTAATACGTTACTTTCTAATGATAATAATCATCGAATGCGTTGATCGCATACATAACGCAATATTTTAATATAAAACGATAAAACACTATTTTAACGAGATCCTATAATATTTATTATTGTTCAATTTATTGTTCGACATAATAATAATTATTACTACTACTGGTAAATGAACTCTGCTTATCACATACTCTTAGATTTACAATACGTTAAAACATGGACAACATCGACTGTACATTTAATTTTATTCCAAGCCTGAAGTTTTCAATAACGATATGAAAATGATTATTCTTATTTATTCGAAACGTTCGAATTCATCGAACGACGAAGAAAAACTTGAAATAAATTATCATGTACTCAACATTTCTTTATGAGAAATATCCAAGTAATTAAGATGAAGGTTTCAAATAGAATTTAACAAACATAAATATTATTCAACTTGTTTGAATGCAAATTACATTCCATTTCTCTGTTATCAACGATTATACCTTAGAGCACACACTGCCATAGAACAAGACTAGAATTTTCTCTTATTTTCAGTAAATTATTAAGAACAAAGTAGCCAGATCGTTCACAGTTCAGAAAGAAATGATAGGGCAAGTAATTAAACAATAATTCTTATACGAATGTAATGCGTGTTGTACCCTCATTTCGGGGAATTGACTTTGATATGTGTTGAGAGGCACGAGAACTTGATCCGCAAGCTTATGAGTAAAGTCTTGCCACAGCATGTCCAGATTCTGAGCTTGCACGTACAACAGATCATGGCCAGTCCACTGACTTTCGTAGATCTCGTTTAGCGAATCCATCAGGGTCTTTGAAGCTGCTTGTACCGCTGTAACAAAGAATGTCGTGTTATAAGTAATTACCAGAATTAAATGATTAATTCATATGATTAATACAGTTACTGCTGTGTATAATGGAATCAAACATACATATTTGAATTAAAATCTCAGATGATTCAATGATTTAAAGTTGATACTTAGCTAACGTGAAAACTGTATTGTATTAATTAATCCATTCAATTGTCTGCATTTAATTTGTTAATATTTCATTGTTATTTAATGTTTATCCTTCAGTTTGCTTTTGAGATCAGTAGTATCTTTAAATTAACACTAGAACTACAAAGCAGTCAAGTTCACTTTTCAAAATTTTTCTATAGAAACCCCAAGAGCGCATCTATCGAGACTTCGATCACTTAAAACTTAGTTTGCGCATTACTAAAACAAGTTCTTTAGAAATTTCTTATAATTGTAAAAGAAGAATTTATGAATGGGTCATTCTGACCCATCTGGTAATTTTAGCGTTAACCCATAAAAATACTTTTGTGAAATATTGTTAAATAAATTCATTTGTTCGTATGTAGGCTGCAATATAAGTTATAAAATTGTCATTTTTACAAAACACGCGGAGAAAATTACTTTCGCTATCCTAATGTAGGATAGGAATGGGTCATTTTGACCCATCCGATAGTTCTAGTGTTACGTTCAGTTTAACTGAGATACAATCTTACTGGTACAATCGTATATTGCATGTACGTGCATATATTACGAGCGTTCAATAAACAATAATGTTCTTGGTGCAAAGAGCACCTGTGCGACACACGCTTTTTCTATCTTGTTATTCCTGCGGTGATTTTAAATTGTAATGCTGCCATTTACATTTACCATTCTCCGGCGTGATTCATTTCATATAAGCTTCTAAGTTCTATGCCAGTTTCTAAGTTTGTAATCCCATAAAAGCTTCTCTCATAAAATTCAATAGGTATTTCTAATTAATTATTCACGCAGGTGAGTCCAATGACTACTCTATTGAGTAACTTTTTATTGACCATTGTCTAAAAGAAAGAGCTTTCTAAAGGAAAGATATTTATAGATGTGTATATGTTTCTAGAATTTTCTAAACCATGATTCTGCCTTTGAATAAAGTTGTGAATACTGCGATTGTCTATTAAAATAGTCTTTTCAATTATTTGCTAAATTTTGTTGATAACTAGTAAAGTGTACAATATTTCTTTAATGTGTAATTCATTTGATTATTTGATAATGATTATTTAATTTATTAATTGTCTGAAAAACTGAAAATATATTTATGTTGTACAGTTTATAACGACCAGTTGCCGATGAAGAAATATTAAACAAGAATAATGTATTTAAAATTTGTATGGCGAATCTTAATATTTACAGTACTCAAAAAGCATTCAATGATTTATAACACAGGACTAACCGAAGTCAAGATCACCGATCAATCACACGTGTTGCCGCTAAAGTACACCGAAGCAGGAGTAAAAACATATCTTGATAGTCAATGTTAAACTTACATAACAAGCTAGACATGGTACGATTAACGACAATAAATCGATATGTATACATTCGAAGAACAACTTGCTACTTCTTGAAAGGTAGCGTTCGAAGTTAAATAAATAATAGAATTGAAATATTTCAAGTTCCACAATCAAGTAATACAGCTTCTACACTAAAGAACATATATATATTCATTTAACAAACTATTAACCCTTTGCGATATAACAAAATTACAAAGTGTTGTATATAATATTAAGTTTTGTATAATGCATCGTTATGTGAAATATTTCCATAAAATAGCTTTGTTACTTAATTTACGTATGAAACGTCTGTGTTTGGAAGACTAAGCTGCGAACGAATGATTTAATTACTCAAACAGCAAGAGATCAGCGTGTAGTTTCCTTTTGTCTCTATTAATTAACGAATTGATATATAACTTAGCTTGATCTGCTGAAGGTTTTGTACGTTTCAAAAAATCTTCGTCCACAGAGAGTTAACCCTTTGAACTCTGTAGGCTCCAATATTGCACCAGGAATAATATTAGATATTTTAATGAATCTTACAGAAACTACCCTACAATTATAAGATTTTTCACACATCCAAATTTTGCACTAAGGAAAATAAAAGATCTAACAAATGTTATAGCATTTATCATTTTCGCTATGGATACTATAAAAACTAGTTGCAGTTGTTGATAAATTAGAGTTAAATTAGTTTCAAACAATGTCGTCTTTGTCTTACCAGAAACTGTCGGATGTTTCTAACGGAAAGCTTCCAAATGCGAAGGTTAAACTCTGTCGAGATTTTTAAAACAATTTTCTTAAAAAAGACCAAAGAAAAAACGCAGTTGAAAATGTTGGTTATTCAAAGAATTTCGATTGTGCTTACAGATATTTCGTAATATTACGAATACATTCGGAAAGTTTTCATCGCCAGGGAATTTTGTGTCCCACCCTGTATATGGTTATTGCATAAGGCAGATATCATGATACGAAAAAAGGATATGAGTGAAATTACTCGCGGCAATCGAGCAGGCTGAATGTAATCAATAGGGATAGTAAACTCGCTGGTGAACAACGAAGAACGAGACACAGCGTAATATTATAGACCAGTTGTGCATTGTTGATTGCACAAAACATTGACACAAGAACAAAACACTAACCAACGGAACAAACAAACTTGCCGCATTCAAAATAACGAACCGCGAGTGTTTACGTAAATTCAAAATTTTAAACACAAGAAAGACGATTAACACGTTGAATGCCATATCAAAAATAATATCAAATCGAAGTACTATAATTCACTCAATTAAACGATGATTACTCCCAAAAATTTCTGTATTATAAATGATGCTACCCATTGCAGTGACATTCAGTTTTATGAATGTGCAAAGATAATAATCCAATTCAGTCAAATGATTTAATATTATATTTTTCCATTTCGTGTATTTTGCTCTATGAAATCATGCGGCATTCAATTTGTTAAGAATCATTTCGCATGCTAAGTTTCATTGTATTTCAAACCTTCATTTTACTGCATTTTATCTTTTAAGGAGTTTAAATGAATTTTTGAACGATATTTTCCGTTAACACGTTAAGTCATTTGGGACTGACGCTTCTGAGTTACTTGAAAACAATCGTAACATGCAAGATAACTGATGTCGAATGAAGATGTTTAATAACGTAACTAAGTTGATAATAGTGTAATGCAAACATTGTAGCGGCAAATAATTAATAATTGTTCCTGCGTTTCTTTGTTGCAAAAGAAAAAACTCTACAGGAAAGCGCTTAAGATTTTCGTGGCGCTTAACGTGTTAACACTAGAATTACCGTACCAGTCAAAATGACTGGTTTCGATTCGTCTATTTCGAAATTATTGATGTCTTAAAGGCATTGAATATTTGAAATGATCTTGAAAATAAATAGTTCCATTTGAATACCGCAATGAATGTCTGAAGAAACTGAAAATAATTTATTGTTACGATTTTCATAGGGATCACATATTAATCGTATTGAATTCTCGGTAGTTCCAGTGTTCAGAATCATTTTGCATGTTAGGTTTTATTGTATTTCATTGAAATCTTCATTTTACTGTATTTTATCTTTTAAAGAGTTTAAATGAATTTGAAAAATCTTATATTTTCCATTAAAACGATGAAAAATTTCCACGAACAACTTCGTTTACGTCGTTTAGCATTGTTATTCTACAGGAAATAAGTATGAATAAGGAAATGTTCGAATTTCTCGAAACACGATTTCCGTTGGACATTTACTGGATAACACGATCAACCTATAATTCAGTTTCTCTCGGATCCACTCACCTCTAACACACCTGATGTAATTATTGAACTCTTTCTGGAGTCTGTTGGCAGCATTCTGTTGCCTTATAAAGTTCTGCAGGTGCTCGTCAAATATATCGTCCGCTGTTCTATCTACTTTGCCCAGATTTTGGAGAAACTGTAACGAGAAAATGAATTTTACATCAGGTGGCTTTCCTTAATCACGAAAATAATCAATGTTGCTTCATTAACCTATTTTCTACTCACAGAGGAATATGTTATGTGTAAAATTAATTTTTTAAAGTGTAGATAATTTAGTTGATTTTATTTTACACCAAATCGCTTCAATTAATTAGGAAAAGAATCAATGTTGCCTTATTAACTTATTTTACCATTCATTGGGCTATTATACTACAAATTAATTTTTCAAAGTGTAGAAATTTAGTTGGTGATTTTGAATTTCGACGTGCATACAGATTTCAAAAAATCAACGACGGCCTTGTTACAGTTCATTACATCTGATTTGTAAATGTTCCTTGTTAAACATAGTCTTTTAATTGACGTTTAATCAACGTTAACAGTGTAATCAACTAATGAACGATAAGTAAACGTATCCTCTCAATTATCGAGTTTCGTTTAAAATGAAAATACGCACTACACTGTTTATTTGTAGCAAAATATTCGTTGAAACATGTTCTCTAAATTCTACCTACATAATTAGAAGTGTTAATTTTCTTTTTACAATGGAAATCGTTGACATCCTAATGCAATAAACTGAAACGAAATTTTCACTTGATTACATGAATCGGCACTAAGCTAATGTCTACTTGTCTAATGCCACCGATAAAAAAGCTGAACACTTGCGTGTATTTAACTTTCAATATACAATTAATCGATTACTCGGAATCCAGACACCGTAATTTACCGTTATTTATAGTCATTACACTGTGCACTTTTCGTTCCATAATTAATACGTACCCTACATTGTTGCCTCACAGAATCAGATATCTTTACGCTAGGTACATTATGTCACACTTTATTTGCCTGAACTATTATTACTGAAATCCGGGTATTTACGCAAATTCACAATTTTTATTATTAATTTATGGAAAAATATATTCAACGTAACTTCGTTTTCTATGCTATAGATAAGAAAAAGTTCATTATGATATCCATACAACATAAACAACAAAATTTACCATCACCTCAAGCAAAAAAGAATGTTCATTTCGTTTAATTGATTTGTATTATCAAACTGTAATTAATTAAATAAATAAATTATTTGATAAATATTATTTATCATATGATATTTATCAAATATCAAGTTTTCTATTTTGCTAAGGATAGAAATAAATTCAATCGTAATTAAAAACAAACAAATGAGCACGTGAATATTCACAATGGAAACTATTTATTTCGAAACTAAATATTTCGTTTAATTGATATTTATCAAATATCAAATTTTCTATTTTGGTAAGAATAGAAATAAAGTCAAGTGTAATTACAAAAAAATAAATGAGCACATGAATATTCACAATGGAAGCTACAACGGTATTGTGAAGCAGTATCTTCCGACCAATGTTTATACTCGATTGATAAGAAGCCGCCATTTTCTCTTGACTCGTGCACGAGCAAACACATTCAGCGGTCTCCGACAGCTTCGTTATACCTGAGGATATAATTACGGTTACGTCACGAGATGTGCCAACTCTAAACAGTTAATGTACGTTTCGCATCACTGGTGGAAAAAAATGGATTGTAAAACGGTTCTGCGATGTCTTATGCGTAACCATCAACTCTCTGTCTTCAGACACTTCACTTTCTAGTCTGCAGTAAACACTTTTTACTTGGAACTTTAAACGAAAGTTGAATTCTTGCATTCTTATAAGAATGATAAAATACTTTCGTAATATAATCTTATAGTAAATGATGCAAAACGTTTAACTCATGAAACTTATCAAATGTATAAGGAAGTTTAAATTATATAAAGTTATTATATTATTTAATTTTATAAAATACTTCCATAATATAATCTTATAGTAAATGAGCAAAATGTTTAACTCATGAAGCTTATCAAATGTATAAGGAAGTTTAAAATTGACAATTAAATTCCTTTTCAGGAAGCATCATCGCTTTTCAACGTGGCAAAAAGTGGATAAAATTGTTTCAAATCACAGCAATTTCAAGTTCTAAATTGGCCAATAGAAAACCTTATAGAACACTATAAAACGTAAACGACACGATTCTTATTGACGATAAACGAATAATCCGAAATTTGTCTTAACTTCTGCTTTTAGTATATCGACTATCAAACATTCATAAAGATCTAACAACCCCGAAGTAATTGTATTTTACGAGATAGAAAGTTGAAAGTTACTATTTACCACAGTGACGTTTGCATCTAACAAATCCTGAGGAATGCAGTTCCCTCGTATCAGAATAAAAACGGATTTTAACACTGAAACTATCGAACAAATTAAAACTAATTCATTTCAGAATTATTGTTACGCAAGTATTTAAATTATGAAGGTGTTTCGGCGAAAGATTTTCAATTAAATTTTTGTATTTGTGCAGATACAAGACTAGGAGACTCATTAAGTCTCGAGAGATTACCTAATTTGTAGAATTAACATATTGTTGACCGGTCACGAGTTAACTCGTTGTACTTGCATTAGCTATTTCAATTTTTTAGATGCAGAGCAATATAGAATATTGCAAAAGCAAGATAGTAAAAGTTATATAAAAGATACGTCTAAAGTTTCATTTCAATTCATTATGTATAAATAAAGTATATTTAGATTGTTTCACTTTATGATAGCTTCTGTGTAAAATTACCGGTCAACAGTGTGTTAACCGTTTGAGGTGCCAAGCGGCGCGATGGCGCTTCTTTCGTTCCAATTCAGAAGCTGAATTACGCTTTCCTATTTTTACAAAAACAAACATTAAATAGTCGTCACATTTTCCCAGTTCTAAGCGAGTAATAACGAGAATAAAAATGAATAATTAGAAAGAAAAGAAATAAATGAGCTTCACCTGATTCTACGAACCGATAAACTGGCATTTTCAGTTAATATTATTTATCGAGTATCAAATTTTATTCAAAATTTTCGAAATAGTTGGAAATAAGTCGTTTTAATTGCTCGGTTTCAGTGTTGAAGTTTGAACAGTGCATTGGCGCAATGTGAATAATGATCATGATAAAATGTTTCTTAGATACAAAGGATCGATGCAATCGTGGAGAAAGAAAGCTGGCAGGTTGTTCCGTTGATTTTCAATGCGTTTAGAGCCTTCAGTGTGATAAAGTTATCAAATTATACTTTCACCGCGTGTACTGTGTGTGCACATTCCATTCAAATCGCGCGACAAGTGGCGGGGGATACAGAAATATATAAGGTGATCCATCCTGCAAATAGGAGGAAATGCACGACGTGTTTTTCCGGTTCATCCGCATGAACTAGCTCGATCAGATATAGAGCAACAGATTTATCACTAGCAGACTGCAGATCTGTATTTATTGCATTTGCAACGAAACGGTTACGACATTCTATAAGTAACATCGTCTGTTATGCTAATTTCTGGAAAAAATTATAATGCTTCTTTTTTTAAATTATCGACATATATACTGTTGTTGTATAAAATAGGAAATAATTAATTTTTATATGCTGTTTTTAATAATTTTACACTATTAGCTTTCAGTTATTTTCAATTATTTTATGCTATTTTTAACTGATTATCCTTTAATTTCTGTAATACCATTTTCGTAAAAGTTCTGTGGTTTTCCATTGAAAAGATTCACAAGAAACGACGGAATAATCTAATACTCATGGTAAAAAATGGTAATGACGTATCTACTTCGTTTTTACCATACAGAATTTTTTACTCTGTCAAATAAATTTACTACTTGGTTCGATTGTTTGCTTGCTTCAATCAGTTTTAAAAGAACCCATGAAAACTGGTGTTTACAGAAAAGTCCGCAGTCCAGTCGTGGAAAACTTAACTTAAGTCCGTCTGGCGGTTTGTTTGTCTCGCGACTGAACATTTTTACCGTTTAGTCAATATTAGAGTTACCCAACTTAGAACGTTAATCCTCGAGTAACGCAAGCTCGTTGGCGTCACACGAAGGAAATTCGAAAGTTGCTTGAATCTAAGATTTAAGGGTGACAAGGATTTCTTGAAAGATACAATACGAGAAAGTCACTTAATACTTTCTACTCGAAGATTGCACTTAAAGTAATTTATCTTAGTGAATTTTTTCTGGAACGTCAGCGGAGAAGCTGTTATAAGAAGTGAAAACACAAGAAATACAGAAATTACTGAGATGGTCCATTTGTGAACCATAAATATAATTGTCCGATAACATGCATCGGTTACTGAAGCATACCAGAGTACTTTCAACGTTAATATTTCAACATTAACTCTTAATATCGTTTATACTTCCGCTTTCTCAATTTAATCAAACCTCAAATACCAAAAAAATTTTAATAACGAAGATGTAACAAACATTTGTAACTATATCTGTAAATCAAAGAGTGACAAAATATCCAAATCACACTGTATATCTTTTTAACTATTAAATTCTTCTATAGAATTTCATGTGTTAACAACTTAACAAACAATCAATTAATTAAATTAACTAATAACAGAAATTTGTTTAACGTTTTTCTTCTATACAAGTAAATCTTCAAACAACTCATTTATTTCAAACGCACAAGAAACGAGCATTTCATGTGTTAATAACTTAACAAACAATCAATTAATTAAATTAACTAATAAGACAAATGTGTTAGAAACATACAAAACGTGCCAAACTTCAGAACATCCGTTATTCAATTTTACAATTGCTAACATATTTTCGTTTAATATCTCGTTTGCGTCTCTCTAAGTTAAAACGACTATCTATTTCAAAATCTTTATTTCTCTCGATATAATTGATTAAATAATTACCCAGTTATAGCAATTAAATCAAATATATTCAACAAAATACTTCGTTTCGTTAGAATGATCTGTTAACACGTTAAGCGCCTTGTCAGTCACCGATGACTGACGCGTCTGAGTTACTTGAAAACAATCGTAACATGCAAGATAACCGATGTCGAATGAAGATGTTTAATAACGTAACGAAGTTGATAATAGTGCACTGCAAGGATTGCAACGCCAAATGATTAATAATTGTCCCTA